CTTAAAAGGAAAGGAGGCCAAAAGCGTAAGGTCGAGGACGACGAACAGGGCGAAATGACGACGATCGCTCAAGTCTGCAGCAAGTGAGGTTCTGGGCTTAGCCTCGTGCCATTCCGTTTGACAAAGGCAGGTACGTAGTTCTGGCGTCCCAGAACTATATCACTGTGCGACAGATGCGTCTTCGTTGGCTGGAGACATCTGAAGCACACTCCAGCCCCCTGCTGCACAAGGAAAACAACTGTGAAGCTAAAACAATCCGAAAGGATCCCTATGATTCCAAGGGTTACACACACACGCACACACACACACACTCCCAGAAGACCATGATGCCCTGAAACACATAACACACGGTTGCAAAAGGTAGTTAGGTTAATTGAAATTCGCGTTAAAATATGTTGAGATCAACAGCAACAAACCTTCACAGACTTTCACCAGGAAAGATTTGATTGCCGAACGCGCTGGACTGAACACGCTGCACTGCTGCCATGGGAGAGCAAGGCCATCTTGGAAGAGGAAAGACGGACTATATAAGTTGGACAATGTGATGGACCCACAGAAGTCGAAGACGGGTGTTGAAAAAGGAATCTGCAAGTTGTCGGGCGTCAAACTGGTCGTGTACGGGTCGGGCTATGAGTATGAGGACGTTACATCTGCAAATCGATTCTCGGTTGACATTATCTTGTGTAATTGGTAATTTGGTTTGGCACTGACTCCAATCAATGTGAACTCTTTGGTTGAATGCTAACAGGTCTTCAAAAGAAGTTTTGACTTCAGTGTGACTCATTTGTAACAGTGTGTTGCACGAATTCATCAGGTCTATTTGCTTGTATGTATGATTCTTCCGAAAACTTTACTTTTTAGACAGTTGAATGATTAAATCACCATGTTTGCGTGCAGTGCCTTCATCAAGTCAGCACCTATTCTTTCATGCCACATGTCTCATTGAAATCATTGACATTGTTTTGCCACCATTGAAACAGAAAAGGGTGACAATCACACTGAAAAAATATTCATAAGTTTACTTGCAACTTAGATATCCAAAGTTTTGAGACGGTCCAGATAAGTACAGTACAGGTGTTTGTGTACAATGACTAAACTCAAGTTGCCCCATTGTGTGAGCCAAGAATGGGGACCGGGCAACAGAGTCGTTCCGCAAGCGCTGGACTTTATCTGCGGATCCGCAACGCACATTCGGATCGACGCGGAGAACTTCATGCCCTTGCTTGATGGAGCCGGAGAATCTTTGGAGACACTTTCTGAGCATGGCTGCTTACTTTAATTAAGAGGCAGCAGTTCATTATGTGTCTTTTGTTTGATTTCCGACTGAATTTTAGTTAGTCTAAATGGAGCAGCAGGCTTTTGTAAGTTGTGATTAAGTTTAAGCTTTGGTGACTGGACAAATCTGTTCATTGGAGTGACTCTTTGACCTTTCTTTTGGGCATGATGAGGGCCATCCAAAGGACCACGCCGGACAAAGGACATGAGATTATGTTCGGACTCTACTTCGCCCTGGTCAGAGAATAATCAATTGTTGTAGTTTTGCCCCGACGGGCTGATCTTTTTCTGAACGCTTGGTGGGGTAGTAGTAGTGTTAGTTTTGGACTGCAAAGTGTTTGCAGTAGAATCAGTTTAACAGACAATATACCAATCTAGTTTTAATCAATCAATGCTTGAGGTGACACAGGCATGGTGCAGTCTGCCTTTCTTGGGACATGTTTGTCAGCCTTGGAAAAAATGCAGAAGTTTGTGGAGGTGAGCTGCAAAGCGGACACCCTTTAAAAAGGGCCAGTGGCGCCCAAGCCGGACAAGACTCCCAAGGCGGACAGTGGGCCCCCGGCCAAGACTCCTCCGGGGAACACCCAGGGGGGCGCAGCCTCATCAGCAGGACAATCCACATCATCGGACAACCAGAAGCAACGGGACCAAGAGTTATTCCCAAGACTACTGGACCCCTTAGGACGGGCGCCGGATTGGTCATGCATCAAGGCGACAGAGGCAACGCAACTTGTGGACCAGCCATTGTCGGACAGACTGGAGAGGTGCCGGTCCCTATGAGTATGAAGATGGACACAAGATCTTGGACCTTGGAAAGGATTGCCGCCGGACTCAATCGACCAGATGTTTCAATTCCGGATGGACGCATTGAAGCAAGTCCCTTTGATTGAAATGACTTTTTTTGGTGGAGATATTTTTCTTCCGTCAGTCTACTGTTGAGAACCATGTCATGTGCCATGTTCAACTAAGTTGTTGTAGTGAGCGAGGTTTTCCAACATAGTCATTAGTTTGTAAGTAAGAAAAACAGCAGCAGAAACGGACTATTCTTTGGTGTGCTTGATATTACAACTTTGAGTTGAGGCGCGGACTTTTATTCTTCGGAATCCTCCAGGGACGGCCAGCATGATGGTTCGGATGGACTGCTCGGAGGACATGTGGGTCGCAACTTTTCACAAGTAGTGAACTTTTTGGTGTTGTGTTTCTATTCTACCGCCAGCTGTTCCTTTGTTTGCGACATGCTGCTCCAGCTGAGGCGGCGGCCAATACTGCCGGAAAGCGCCCTTGGGGCAGGCATTTGCTGTCGGACGTGACGGACCAGCTCTCTCGTTCTTTGGCTTCAGCTGAGGTATTAATTTTTGAAATACCTTTGAAGGAATTTTCCATGACGATGCGTCCACCATTCTCACCAAGCGTCCTTTCGAGCAATACTGTAAAGTTAATTCAACATTGGCGCCTAAGGACAATTTGCAATTGGAGTCGGACAGAGAGCTGCAGGAAAGCCATGGGTCCATTTTCGGGCTGCCTTGTTCAATATTTTGGCCAGCAAGTCAAGACAGGCAACGCACCCTATGAGCCACTTGCATTGATGTTGGTGGGCAACCTTTTTCCTTTGCCATTGTTTTTGTTTTTAGTTGTTTGGATTTCTTTTTGCTTCGTTTGATTGTTCCCTGACGTTCGTGGAAGATCGACTGCTCGATGCACTTGGCCCACAACAGTGGTGGGCGGGAGAGGAGCCAAAGAGCAAAACCGGGGGCTACGGGTCTGGACAGGGTTCCAAGGTCAGGTTTAGACTAGTGAGTCTTGCAATGTTTATAGAGTACATGGGATTTGGAGTTTGTACAATATGTGCAAAGTATATCTATTTACATTTTGATATTCAAAAACATAATTTATATAAAGTAGAACAGCAATGAGATCAGTAGAGTACCAATGAGATCTTGCTTGCAGCGCCTTGATGAAAATGCGTGGATGTTTGATTCAGTCATTTGATGCAGTCATTTGGAATGTGCTGCCAGGCCATCAAAGAAGCTCAGGATTGCTATTTGACTGAGGGTTGTGGTTGCAATACCGAGTGCGCTGCAGATGACGCGCCAACACTTTGCCCAGCCACCGGGAAACTACGTGACCCGATGAGCTTCTGGGTGGCTTGGCAGCCGCAAAAGGACACGAGTAGGAAACTGCCTGGGTGAGTGCTACTCTTGATGGAAGAACTCGCCAGAGAATCACAGGTATTCAATAGAAGGCACTGATCACAATCAGTATCCTTGAATTCCAAGATGGTTTTGCCTTCAACATCAGTTTGAGTCTGATTGTGTACACTCTGACTGACTCACTCACTCACTCACTCACTCACTTACATGGAAGTGGAAAAACCCGTGTTTGTAGAGGAAAACAGTTTTGGCAAGGGTGATGTTCCAATTTTGACTAAGTTTGATGAATTTGAATGTGCAATCATTTGAGGCTGGGGTCATGGCTGGTCTGAACAAGGGCGGTGAAACCTGTGCATCAGTCGGTGTATCTGCCACTACATGCTGAGCGGTGTGACCAGAGTTGAAGAAAAATGTTATTTGAACATGCAAATCCAAGCCTGTTGGCTCGTCAACAAGAAACAAATGTTCTCTTGCAACAGTTGCAATCTTCCATGCTTTTGCCCAAAGTGGCTCCTTCCCTTGACTTCGGTATGCCGATTTTGGCGGACCGTGCTGTGGTTGAAAAGGAGCGAGCTGATCGGCTGATCGTGGTCCTAGTCCTTTTTGGTGTACCAAAGGCCTGCTTTAAGTTGCGTAATATTCTGAGGTTCCAAAGGTCTTATTGCATGACATGGCAACAACCATAGGGTTATGTGGTTCTCGGCATCCCCTGAGTGGAAAGAGGAGTGACGATATCACGAATATCCTTCGCACAAGTTCTCCAGTTGACAACAGATTTCCTCCACATGCACCATTTTCAAGCTCAAATACAAGGTGCTGCTTTGGAAAAACGATTCTGCTTCTGCACGGACGTCACTGGTGGAGCACCCGTCTCTCCGACGGAATTGTAACCCGTCTGTCCGGACTACCCCGTCTCGGCCCGTTTGGGCTCGGTACGGCGGAGTCGAAGAGGCAAAGTCGTCGCCTGTTTTGGGTTTCAAGAGGCAGAACTGAGCCGCCTTCCCCCGAGCTCCGGATTTGGTCAGCTCGGAGTCTGAAGAACTAAGGGGAGTTGTGTCCTGTGTCCTTACTTTTGGCGCAAGAGGAGCCCCCTTAAAGTTGAAACTGGAGCGAAGGTGGCAGTACCGGAGTGGTCCGAGGACAGGGTTCGGACCGGGAGGAGATTTCTCAAAGCAGTTCCGGACAGAACAAAGTTATAATTTTTGTAACGTTTTTTGCAAAAGGGTCTAGTATAGGAACTCTATACAGGCCTCCAGGGCCGGGAAATAGAGCCTATATGAGCCTATCTGTTGGAGGTTTGGTCTTTGTTTTCTTCTCGCACATGTCCACCTGGGGATGAACTCAGGTGGTGCAGGCACCGTAGCGGTGAACCGCATCTTGCGGACCTTGCAACATCACAAAGACGCGGGCGGGTTGCGCGCCGCCAAGCGCCGCCAACGTGGTGGTTGAACGGGGCACCCTTGACCACCAATCATGCGTCAAGCGTCCACAACTTCCGTGCTTTTCATCCCACCGAACACACCGCAGCTCGTTCCGCAGCCTTCGCGCCTCGCAGCTTCGCGCCTTTTCCGCGAGGCAGTGCAGTGCTCCAGGCGACGGGCTTGTGGGCTCTGGGACACCTGGCAGAACGCGTAGAGCCCAGCCAGGGCGGCAGGACGCAATGGCGTTGGAGCGGTGGAACAGCGGCGTGGCGGTTCAGCGACGCGCGCTTTGGATTTCCGCGCGCGCCCGGTGACAAAGCGCGTTTTGCGGCTTTGAGTGCATTTTGGCGGGTGTGGAGTGCCTGGCATCGTGGGTGTTGAGGGAACTTAAATGACATGTGTAAGCTTCTGAGAAGCGAAGAAGTCTGAACACGTGAACAGGGTGACAGCTTGCAGTCCTGATCTGCCAAGCCCCGACCCTCAACGCACCAATGCCCACCTGCTCGCCTGACTGCAAGCGATGTGCCAAAAACACGACCAGTTGACTGCCCTCCCGCCTCTCTTCTCTGGCCAAATCGCATTTCTACAAGCTTCTTCTGGGGGGATTTTATGCAGGAAGTGCCGAGTGCCAGCCTGTTATGGTCGCTTTCCCATCATCTCTGCACGAGCAGAACGACGACCCGAATCCTGCAGGACGCAGCTCGACGTGCCAAAGAATGGCATCCAGAGAGTGCGCTGGTACAGCGCCATGCAGTCCGGGTTCCTGCATCGCCTCGGTGGTTCTTCTGGTGGGTTCAGCTCCAATAGCTTCTGGGAACGACCACTTCTGTAGTGCCAAAATGCCTAGGAAAAACCACCAGCAGTCACAAGGTTAGGGGTGCGGGGTGCTTCATGGAGGGTGCCGTCGGGGTGCCCAGAACATCACATCCACTCACGTGCTTGGCAACTCAACACCACCCCGAGCTCTGTGACTCCTGGAAGAGATGTCTTCGGGATTCAGGCCTCTTCAATCAGCCGGTTCACGTCCAGCTTTCCAACCTTGTGTCCCTTAGAGGAGTACTTCATGGTACTCCCCCCTCCGGTTTGACTCCGTGTTTTTTTCAGATGTCCCAGATGATCATCCTTGGCTGCTGTGGCAACCAACGTCATAAGCCAGGGGGACCCCGCCTGTAGCTCGGTCGTAAGGTTTGGGATGCTCAAGACCTCCTCTTCGCTGAGGATGACCTCATCGCTTTTCTCCAAAGACGAGACGAGCACTGAGCGGCTAATGATTGGCTACAGGCCTCGCTGCCTGTAGGGCTTTCAAAGCTTCAGAGCCCAACAGCAAAGGATGCAGCGTAAAAAACACAGGAACCTGCGGAAAAAAAAGCACCGGAAACTCAGACTTGGTCACGGATATCTGACAAAAATTTGTAATTATGATGGCTTCGAAATGGCTCAGGGTTCACATTGAAGTTTAAGCATCGTTTCTTTTGTCACATCCATGGAGAACACCAAGACACACCCCAAGTTGCTGGGAAGACCTCCTCAAGTGGCTTGCGGAGAAGCTTGACCTCCAGCGACCATAGTAGCGTCACCCTTTGTGCAGAAGAACGTCACAAAGCCCGCTGTTGGTCTATGTGGGGAGAGGATCGCTGAATTTGGAAGGGCGAAGGGTCTGACAAGTGGCAAACCGTTTAAGCTCATGGTGAAGACTTGTAGACCTCTAAATTCAGCCGTCTGAGCTCATGGAACTACATGACATGACCCCTGTTTTGGATACGTAGGAACGTTTGATCAGATGTTGGGTGGCTTGTGGTCTAAAATAGAGGTCACTCAGGTTCAAGGTATTCTATATGGAAAGCTCCAATCGTCACTCAGAGGGTTGGCCCATTTCAGAACCATGGTCTATCAGCTGTGCCCATCTGGCACTGCACAGCGGATTCATTGCTCGATGCGAAAGGAGTGTCGTGCTACTTAAGGTCTCCATATGTTTTTCTTTAAATTCATCAACAGTCAAGTCAGTAGTAGGTTTGAAGCACATGTTTTTTTTGTTTTTTTTCAGGGCTTTTGGTGACTCCATGGTCTATCAGCGCATGTTTGGAATGAATTGGCTCAGCCAATTCACCTGTCCGTGCCGACGTCCGTGCCGACGTCCGTGCCGACGTCCGTGCGCCGTGCGGCTCAAACAGCATTAAGTTCCACAAACGATTTCCGACCGCGGTCCGAGCCTCAGAGCCGTTCGACCACCGGTGGAGAGCACGGCCGACAAACCGCGCGTTCTCCGTTCTGGAGAGGTTCGTCGACCGAGCGAGCGAGACCGGAAGCTGTGGAGGGTGGAGACTTCACCCTTTCGGAAAGTGTGAAGCTGTTTGGAAGCCTCATGATTTGGCGTGAACATCTTGTGGGCCAAGCTGCCTTCATCCTACTTCTTTAGTCTGGTTGCCGTGCGGCCAGTCGCCGCGTGCCTCAGGGGGCTCCATCAGCCGATAGCATTGCTTCGGCCAGCTTCCGCACCTACGTGGCAGGCGGGAGTGAGTCCGCAGCGTGGCAGCGTACGCTAGCGTGGCAGGCGTCCCTATACAGGTGACCGCGTCCGACTGGTTGAAGGACCCGAGTTCGACCGACGGCTTCCCAGTTGGGTACTGCAGGTGTTCCGGGTCCAAAAACCTCTCTTGGGGTTAACCTGGTCCTGAAAGCCTCAGAGTGAGTAGTGTATGTGTATGACTCCAGTAGAATGAGGTCCAACTGACCTGCTGGTGCTGGCTAGGTGGTATTGCTGCTGCGCTTGGAGAGGGACAGTGCATGAAAGTGCCATTCTTCAGGCTGTTGTTCCTGGTGCATGAAAGTTGCTGGACAAGGTCCTTCAGCCATTTCCGCATGACATGATTCTTGGCCTTCAGCAGCCCATGCTTCAGGTGGTTTCGCAACCCCATTTACGTGCAGCAAGATGACCTTACCTGAGAGCGAGTCTGCCCCTCAGTGCCGCGATGGAGCTGGAGGTCCTTCCTGAAAACTCAGCGGAAAGGTTCTCCCTGCTTGAAAGATATTCAGGCGGACCACTGAAAGACCCTTTGAAAGACCACATTTCTTTGCACACGGGTGCTTTGAAAGGGTGATTTCGCATGGAGCTTCCATTCTCTTTGGAGGTGTAGGTGGTTGGGTTTGTCCCAAGGGACTTTTCATGAGACCTGTTTGCTTCTCCTGTAATTAGTCACAGTCATTATATAGCCCCACAATCCCTGAATTTCACCGCCCGCGCACGATTCCCCGCTGATGAAGGGAATGTCCAGAAGACAATGCTTATCCATTGCGGCAGACTGTAGGGAAGAGGAAGGAGACGGAGGAGCTCGGGATCCCACTTTGCAGAGCATCCAAGAGCACAGGGGGTGGACGCACTCCAACCCTGGCCTTTTCGGATGCACACACTCCAACATATACAGACGAGTTTTGGCATCAGCAGTGGAAAATCACCAGATACCCAGAAGTGGAAAAGAGACCTTGGCAGAACATCCATGTTTTCTGCGGTGGACCCATGTTTTTGAGAAATCAGCTTCTTAAGAAGAACACCGAACGCCGAACGGCAATCAGATCCTCGATCTCGATTTCGATTCGTGCGTTGGGCAACAAGGCTTCCTACCATAGACTCTAGGCGTACCTTGAAGCCTAATTATATAGATCCCTCCTAAGAAATTAAAACCTCCAACAGATCCTAAGAAATGAGATCCTCCTGAAGAAGAAGAGGGGGAGGAAGAAGAAGAAGAAGAAGAAGAAGAAGAAGAAGAACCGAAGCGAACCTTCCCCGTCCGTCCTGGAGCCGCTGGATGCCTGGACCGCCTGGACCGCCCGGACTGCGCGACTCTAAGCGACTGCAGATGTGTCCCCAACACCTTCCTGGAGCTCCTGTGGCGGCTCTCAGGGGGGGAAAACCAAAGGGGTCTGAGGGGCGGACTATGTTGTGAATCGAACAGCAAGAACGGTGCTGTTCGACCTGCTGTTCGACCAGTTGCCAGAATGGTTGATAGTATCGACCCGCCCTGACTTCAGGTGTTTTCTATCCAATGACCACCTTTTGGGTGGTGGTGGGCCAAAGATGGACATAATCATAAGCCATAAGCATTGAGTTCACTTGGGAGCTTATATAGGATCATGTCCCATGAGTTTGAGTGTTTCGTGGAATGCCCACGTGACAATCACAGTTCTTTCTTGTTTTTGGGCGAACTCAGAGCCGCTGAACCACCTGCCATTCCCAAGACCACTCACCAGGGAAGGAGCGAACCCGTCGCTCCTTGGAGCAGGTTTCACTTGATGCCCCCCAGCCCACCCGGCAGGACCCAGGACCCAGGACCCCCACACACTTCAGGGGCGATGAACAAATGGACACCCGGGTCCTTCGTGCTGGCTGATGTCTTCTTCTCTTCACAGTTGCATTTGAGCCGACTGAGTCCTGTCGGAGTTCAGCGCTGTTTCCGGTAGCGACTCGCTGCTTGAGACCGGAGTAGCGAGACATGCCGTGCTCACAGGTCTGAGAACGATACCGTGCTCACTATTGTATTCTTCATCTTGGGCTGGCCACACCGACGTGTTTCCACTATAACAGTGTGTGTGTGTTTCACCACTTGTTAACGTAATCACTAGAGTTTCCATACCTTCACTGCATCAGCTCTTGCGAGCATCAATCTAAGTGTGTGTTATTTTTCCCGAATGCGTAGCGAAGGGTTCTCGTTTAACTCTTGGGGGTCTGGGGGTAGAGCCTTGTTCGCGATCCGTTGCTTCTACGTCCGCAACCGTCCGCAACCGTCCGCAACCGTCCGCAACCGTTCGCGGTAGAGCGCTAAGGCGCTGCCATTGGGGGAAGCTTTTGCAAGTGACTTTTCATGGATGTGTCACGGTGTCAGTTTGCGCCGCTATTCCATTGTGATTTGCATGAAAAAGACATGTCGCGCAAGCAACGTGATGCGTCTCGCTGCACAGGCGCAGCGTTTGGTGAGATCTGCAGATTGCTGCGCAGTTCCATTGGGATTAGCGTTTGGAGAGTCGTGTTTTTGGGGTGTTGGATGTGGCCGTGCCATTGGGATTTGCGTTTCAGGGTGTGGCATCGAAGCTCTGTTTTCGTGACAAGTCTCAGCTGAAATGCCGATTTTGGTGGATGGGAGTGTGCTCAGAACGGGTCGAAATCATTCCAAACGTGTGGTGTGGTGCAAATTTTGTTGAAGCTCACATGAGATGACATTGTTACTTTTCGTGGCAGGCGCAGGACTTTGTGCGGGCTTTGAGGTGTGGAAGTGGGATTTTCGTGGCAGGCGCAGGGAATCGTGAGGTTGCGATGTGTGACGGAGGTGACATTTCGTGGCAGGCGCAGTACTTTGTGCGCGTTAGACGTGTGGACGCGGAAAGATTCGTGGCAGGCGCAGGGAATCGGGAGGTTGTGAGTTGTGGTAGAGGTGAATGTCGCTGTCCCATTGGGATTGGCGTGTGAGGCGGGGCTGGAAGCGCGAAACTGCTTGGCAGGGCTGCCTGATGTGTGTGCTCCGATGGGAGTCTCACAAGAGTGTCCCTTAAGAGTTTCCTACAAGAGCGTCCCACAAGAGTGTCCCACAAGAGTGTCTCACAAGAGTGTCCCTTAAGAGTGTCCCACAAGAGTGTCCTGCAACAGTGTCCCACAAGAGTGTGTCCCACAAGAGTGTCCCACAAGAGTATCCCGCAAGAGTGTTCTACAGGAGTGTCCCACAAGAGTGTCCCACAAGAGTTTCCTACAAGAGTGTCCCAAAGGAGTGTCCCACAAGAGTGCCCTACAAGAGTGTCCCACAAGAGTGTCCTACAAGAGTGTCCCACAAGAGTTTCCTACAAGAGTGTCCCACAAGAGT